ATTTTCCGCGAAACCTCGTACACGTGTGTACACGCGCGTGATCCGAGGCAGAGGAATCGCGTGGCGATTTAATTGCGGGCCAACGTTACACGACAGGACCCCCTCTCACCGAGAGCTCGTTCGTTTCTGTCCACGGCGCTGGTTACTCGCATGTTAAATGCGCTCCGTCTGCGTCGGAGGATCGTCAACGTACGTTCACTGCCCGATCCGTTCGATTAACGTCGGGGACTGCAGCCTTGTTTCGCGGCGCGATCAAAGCGATCTGTAGATCCCGTCTGACGACGACGACTGTGTACGTGTTCTTGCATCTGGACCATTTGCCCGGTTCTTTCGGCTTCCGTTTCCCGGAGGACGACGCAGAGCCGCTGGGACGCTGTTACGTTAACAACGAAGAGAAAATTATATCGCAATGCAGTAGCTGTAATAAATATTCTCTTAGTTGTTGCATACTTACTGCACGTCAACCAATTACGTATAATACGTTTTGAAACTTGAGTTTTCGTTGAAATTACAGGGACGTAACGAAATGGCACTTCCTGAAAAGAAGAAAAAAAAAAAGGAAAAAAGAAAATGACGAAAGAGACTGAGTATCGGAGGAAAGTTACAGGTGGTAGTACTAATAATCATCGTCATTATCTTTTCACGTGCTAAACTCTCACGGAAGAGAAGTTACGCAGCTATCCATCCCAAAGTTTCAATCGTCGCGATCCTCCCACCGCGGCAGCAGGATGACTATGATTTACATTTTCGATCGATACAGCACTCGTAGCGTCTAGTCTTTCTCGCAATTGTCTGCGAGCGTCCGATCAGACGGTTCGACCGAGCGGCTTGTGGTAGAATAGATCCGTTTTGTTACGAGCAGGAGATCAGTTTGTTTGGCGGAATTCGCATCGGGACGTGAAAAATGAATGATGAATCATTCTCTGGCGCAGAGTACGATAGATTGATCAAACCGATCATGATAACCGCTAAGATAATATCGATTTGGCCGTTGGCAGAGGACAGTAGTAAACGAGCAATTTTGTTCAGAAGAATCCACCTGTTCTGTATGTTTTTTCTGGTAAGTTTCGGTGTAAAGGTATTGAAATTAATTTCGAATTAAACGGAAGTCCCGCGTTATTAATAACTCCGAGATTCAAAATTAATTGAACAATTTATTGGTTTGTTTCGCAAAAGAATCCGCAACGAAATTTCATCATCTAATTGCTCTTGTTCAATTGTTAAACGTGTAAATTGTGTGTGTGTGTGTGTGTGTTTTCTTTTTCCGAAACGTTGTCAACGCTTTATTATCGAAGAATGGCGCATCGCACGTTCGACGTTCAATTACATATTACATTACAAGCTGTCGATTCGAAATTCAGTGGTCCGGTCGTCCTTTGATCATCGAAAATCATCCCACCCTTGTGAAAATTCTCGCCCATCACGTATCCCCCGCGGGAAATGAAAGAGAACAGTCTGGTAAGGTTGAATTTTCAGGTGATAGTGATGTCCGTCGCGGTGACTGCCGACGTGGTTCACAATATAGATAACTTGGACGAGGCGACCGAATGCGCGTTGATTTGTACAGCGTTTTACCTCTGTGTTGTTCGTTTGCTAGTGTACACGTCCCATCAGGAGGACATGCTGTACGTGGTGAACACGATGAGAAAGGATTGGGTCTCGTCCTCTCACGAAGATCGAGCAATCCTGGCGGAGAGAACGATGTTTGCCTTTCGTCTCGTGAAATATTTTATCAGTACCGTGGCTGTGACGATCGTGCTGTTCATGTT